GTGTGCTTCCGGTGCCTGGGCGGCTCACCTTCTCTGCCCTAGAAGCTTGGGGTGGTGGCGGAGGAGCTTCCTTCTGGGTACTAGGACCAGCTCAGATTCTCTTCCCTAGGAGCTTGGGATGGCGTCGGGGAGCTTCCTTCTGGGTGCTGAGGCCGGCTCAGCTTCTCTGCCCTAGGAGCTTGGGATCACAGTGGGGGAGTTTCTTTCCTGATGCTGGGACTGTCTCAGCTTCTCTATCCTAGCAGCTATGGATGGCAGCAAAGGAGCTTACTTCCGGGTGCTGGGACAGGCTCAGCTTCTCTACCCTAGGATCTTGGGATGGTGGCAGCGGAGCTTCCTTTTAGGTGCTGGGAAAGTCTCAGAATCTCTGTTCTAGGAGCTTGGAATTGCGGTGGGGGAGCTTCAGTCCAGTTGCTGGGACTGGCTCAGCTACTCTGCCCTAGGCAGTTGGGATGGTGGCGGACCAGCTTCCTTCCATGTCCTGGGGCCAGCTCAGATTCTCTGCTCTAGGAGCTGGGAAGAAACAGGTGGGGGAGCTTCCTTCCTCATGCTGGGACATGCTCAGCTTCTATGCCCTAGGAGTTTGGTATGGCTGCAGTGGAAGTTCCTATCAGGTGCTGGGACAAGCTCAGGTTCTCTGCCCTAGGACCTTGGAATGGCTGCTGAGGAGCATCCTTCCACATGCTAGATCCGGCTCAGCTTCTATGCCCTCGGAGCTTGGGATGGCTTCCAAGAGATTCCTTCCAGATGCTGAGACTGGCTCAGCATCACTGCCCTAGGAGCATGGGATGGTGGCGGGGTAGCTTCCTTCTGGGTGCTGGGACCGGATCAGCTTCTCTGTTGTAGGAGCTTGGGATGGTGGCGGTGGAGATTCTTTCCGTGCCCTGGGACCGGCTCTGATTCTCTGCCCTAGGAGCATGGGATGGCAGGAGTGGGGAGTTTCCTTCTGCTGGGACTGTCTCAGTTTCTCTGTGCTATGAGCCTGGGATGGCGGTGGGGCGATTCCTTCCAGGTGCTGGGATCGGCTCAGCTTATATGCTCTGGGAGCTTGGGATGGTGGGAGGCGGGGGGAACTTTCATACGGGTGCTGGAATCATTTCAGCTTCTCTGGTCTAGGAGCTTGGGATGGCAGGGCGGAGCTTCCTTCTGGGTGCTGGGAGTGTCTCAGCCTCTCTGCCCTAGGAGCTTGGGATGGCTGCTGAGGACCATCCTTCCATATGCTAGGACCGGCTCAGCTTCTCTGCCCTAGGCACTTGGGATGGCGGTGGGGGAGTTTCTTTCCTGGTGCTGGGAATGTCTCAGCTTCTCTGTCCTAGGGGCTTGGGATGGTAGAGGTGGAATTTCCTTCCAGGTGCTGGGACCAGCTCAGGTTCTCTGCCATAGGAGCTTGGGATGGTGGCCAGGGAGCTTCCTTCTGGGTGCTGGGACTGGCTTAGTTTCTCTGCCCTGGGAGCTTGGAATGGTGGCTGGGGAGTTTCTTTCCTGATGCTGGGAATGTCTCAACGTCTCTGTTCTAGGAGCTTCGTATGGTGGTGAAGTAGCTTCCTTCAGGGTGCTGGGACCAGCTGGGCTTCT